ACCTGTGCGACTACGTCACATACATGGCAAATGGAGAGATGGACTAAGAACTAGGAGGGGAGGAATCTTATGTCCTTATATGGGCATCCCCGCCAGATTGGCTAGTCCACCAGTGGGAGATTTGAAAATCTGTCATTGGCCGGCTTGCCTGCCAACTCCCTTTATAAAGCGAGCCCGGCAGCACAGCCGGCTGTCCTGTTTCCATCTTAATAAAGTGCTGAACGGATCACTCGCTGCTCCCGTATTCTTTTCCCTGCGGCAATCTAATAGAAACTTTATTGCCTTTTTTGATGAAATGACTAAATCAGTGGACCAAGGAAATGATGTGGATATAGTATACTTAGACTCCAGCAAGGCATTTGAAAAAGTAGACTATACCCTCCTTCTTGGTAAGATAGAACAATGTGGGATAGACAGCATCACCACCCAATGGATTTGCAGTTGGCTGACCAACCACACTCAGCAATTGGTCCTCAATGAAACAACGTCTAGATACAGAGAAGCATGCAGTGGTGGTACCTCAAAGTATTGTCTTGACCCCAGTGCTCTTCAACTTTATTTATTTTATTTATTTTGTCAAGCAAAATAAGATAACAGATAAAAGTATAAACATGATTATGAATACATGAAATGGATACGAATAAAAGGGAACATTAGGACAGGGACGGAAGGCATGCTGGTGCGCTTATGCATGCCCCTTAAAGACCTCTTAGGAATGGGGTGAGGTTGACAGTAGACAGTCTAAAGTTTTGGGGGTTTGGGGAAGAAACCACAGAGCCAGGTAGTGCATTCCAGGCATTGACCACTCTGTTGCTGAAGTCATACAGTCAGTACGGTAGTCAATGTATAAGTCCGTTACTCCCTGGTCTTGGCATCTTTTGAGTTCAGCATGCCGTTCATGGGAGCGGACTCGTTGTAGTGTGGATAGGTCAGGCCTTGAGCAAAGTTTGTTTCAAATGGTGTTGCTTCTGGCAATTGAGTTGATAGTATGTATGAATTTGCATTTGCTGGTCTCATTCTTGCAAACGACTCCGCAGAAGCATGGAGCCTCTGAGCCATCACTGTACTTGAACTCAGGGCCGTCACGGGAAACATTGATGATTTCCTCCAGGGAGATGGTTGGTGTCTTACAGTTGCTGATGATGTTGCGTACCTTTGTAATATCATCAGTTTGATTGGTGTCCTCAAGACCAAATAAAATAGCATTGGGACGTTTTTGTTCTCGTTCAATGGCATCTTTGATGAGTAAGGAGATGTTATTTGTTGGGTAGGTGGCTGGTTGTGGTAGAAGTTGTTGTGGTTGAGGTTGTTGGAGTGGAATAGAATTTTGAGTTGCTGGATGTTCACTTTTCTGTGTTGAATTTTTGTTTTCAAGAGATGCTAAACGTGTTTCTATGTTTTTAAGGGATGATACTAAAGTTGCTTCTATGTTGTTAAGGGATGATAGCCGTGTTTCCATTGTGTCGATCTTATCAAACATGATACTAAATTTGTCTAATTTGGGTTTGCATGATGGGCAAAGATTGGTAAGTGAATTTGAGGATGTTTGTAGGAACTGGACTACGTTTTCATTTAATCCCAAACATGTGTGGTGGGCGTACTTGTTACATAGGTAGCATTTCATGGTATTCTCATTCTCCTTGGAGGAATCTGTACCCTGTTTCCCTGAAAATAAGACCTCCCTGGATGATAAGCTCAATCGGGCTTTTGAGTGCATGCGCTAAAATAAGCCTCCCCTAGAAAATAAGCCTTCCCTGAAAATATTTAAACGCAGAGCTGGAAATCAGGTAAGATGGCAAGAGGAGCCCCATCTTGCTCCATATGCCCCAAAGTAATAAGACCTCCCCGAAAATAAGGCCAAGCGCGTATTTCGAGGTTCAAAAAAATATAAGACAGGGTCTTATTTTCAGGGAAATGCATTACATAGAAAGCATTTGGAGGGGTCATTTGTGTCATTGGCAGAGATGTCATTCTTTTTGATTGTGCCATTGGTAGAGATATCTATCTTTTTGACTGGTTGTTTGCTTGGTTGTTTGGTAGTGGAGTTTTTTCTTGGCATTGTAGATTTGTGCAATCAATCAATCGGACAATAAATATGCTAATCAGCTAAATATTAAAGCAGTAAATATGCTAATCAATGCCACGCTGATCAATAACAGTAACTAGTCAATGTAATGGATGCTCAATTAATTAATAGACACTCAATTAATTACTCAATGGTGCAATATATTCAAAGTAATTAATCAGTTAACAATAGATCAGCAAACAATGTCACTCTAACCAATTAAACTAATCTATTAATTAACTAGACAATTAATTAATCAGACATTCAATTAATTAAACAGTTCTAATCAAGTAATTAATCAATCAATAATATTAAAAATTCTATCATTTAATCAATGGGTAATGAAGTAAAGTAGTAAAATAGGATGAAAGGGAAGGGTATTGTAGTAATTGACTTTTACTTCCTCATGTAGCTTCTGCTGTACTCCCACATGTAGCTTCTGCTGTCCTTTGTGTTCTGTTGGCATGTCTTCTGGTATAGGGTTTAAAATTGTGGAAGATTGAAATCCAATCTGGTGGGAGTTTAAAGTAGATCAGAGGGTATTTTTTTTTTTTTTGCCTCACAATCAGAGGGATTTTTTGCCTCATGATTAGAGGGATTTTTTGCCTCACTCACTTCAGATCAGAGGGATTTTTTGCCTCACAATCAGAGGGATTTTTTGCCTCATGATTAGAGGGATTTTTTGCCTCATTCACTTCAGATCAGAGGGATTTTTTGCCTCACAATTAGAGGGATTTTTGCCTCACTCACTTCAGATCAGGAGCGGTGACAGTGGCGGTAGCAGTGGCGATGACAGCAGCAGTAGCAGCTGCAGCAGTAGTGGCAGTAGTAGCAGTGGGGGCTTGTGGAACCTGCGAGTGGGCGACAGTAGCAGGGATTTGTGGCAGGGATCCGATGGTGGCCTTGCCTGCCTCTCAGGGATCTTTCTCAGTGCCTGGGCCAGACAATTGCTCTGCAGTTCATTTCGCAGGATGGGATATAGTTCTTCTTCATAAATGACCTAGATGAGGAGATGGAAGGGGTGCTCAAGGATGCTTCTCCCAAAGATGGGGGGAATTGCTAACATTTGGAATACCATGTCCAATTCTGATTACCATGATGCCAAAATGATGCTGAGGCCCTAGAAAAAGTGAGAGAAGAGCAACAAAGATGATATGGAGTCCAGAGGATAAATTGCATGATGAATGTCTAACAGAAGTACTACTTTTTCCACTGGCACCGCCGGCGCTGCTGCAGCTCCTTTGCGAGCTGCAACTCCCAGGATCTGTAAAACCGCCAAAACAGCGTAAATCAGCTGTTTTGGTGGCTGGAACTTCCCCCTCGGGCAAAGAGGGGGGGTGAGTGCTCAGATGTATAGGGTAGAGCCCCCCAGAACCTCCAGGATTAACCCTGGAGGCGCAGAGGGTGAGGGCTCCCCAAACGCCTGGAAAGCAGCTCCAGACTCGGGATTCTGTCTTTGACAGATTAAGGCGTCGCGACCATCCCTGTGAAACAAGTGATTTCAAGGATTGATTTTCATGCAGGCAGAACAAAACAGGAGAGCTTCTTGGAAGTATTTTTCTTTCTTTAACTCTGATGAATAATGAGTCCTTTCAGATTCGAATGAAAGCTTTAAAGTGATCCAAAATGGCGCTGATTGAGGACCGAAGCTTAAGAGGAAAGTGATTGTTAAAGCTTGTTTGCGCTTGTTAAGGTCGTTATAGCTGTCAGTACTTTGAAGCTTTGCTGAATGAAGTTTGCAGCATAAGAAAAGATGGCAGAAGTAAAGATTTTTGAAGAGAATGGAGGTTTCTCAGCAGATAATTCAACAAGTGTACAAATACTGACAGTGGATTTTGTGGATGCATGGCAAAAATCATTTATGGAAAGACTGGATGAGATCCTTGAGAAGTTTATTACTCAAATTGCTAACAAAGTTGCAATGTTGAAAGAGGAGGAAGAACAAAAAGTGCCTGAGGAACATGGAAAGGATGTTTTTCAAACTATGAATAAACTGACGGGCTTGAAGGAGGTTAATCCGAGATATGGAGAGAGATCTATCCAGAGGTTTTGACGTAGATGAGAGGAAAAGTGCTGGGAGAAGCTTGGATTTTCAAGATATCAAGAAGGATTAGAAATGGAACATTACAGTTTCTTTACAAAAATAGACTTTTAATCCTATTTAAAGAGGTGTGTTGCTTAAAAGGAATTACTTTGCGAGCTGCACAAGATTGGAAGATAAAATTACAGTTGAATACACAAAAGCTTGTAAAAATAAAAGATGGTGGAATAAAGGCTCGGAAAAAAACCAGGGGGAAATGGAAGTGGAAGAATTTTATTCCTCTTTGTTAGGCAGGATAACATGGTGAATTATTGTATTGGTATTTAAGATTTTTATTAAGGATATGATTTGTTTGGTTTTAAAAAAATTTCTTTTCTTTACTTATGACTCGGTGTTTCAACTGTTATATAAATGTGAACAAGGATATGATCTCTTTGGTTATGATTGGATGGATTATATCTAAAAATTATTTTAAGTAATGGATTAAATGAGAAAAAAAAATTTTGGATGTTAAATTCAAGGCTATAGAGTTTTCAATATATTTTCAATATATTTAAATTGTTTGTTTATTGTTGAATTAATTGGGATTAACTACCTTTAAGCAAGAAAAGTTATATTTTGTTTTGAACAAGGAGAGTTAAAGTACAAGTGATAGATAAATCTATAGATAGTTTGTGGGGTTTTTCATTAAGATTTGTTAAATGTTTTTACCCTGTACTTGTTCTGGGAAGTCCAGGGAGGGGGGTGGGGGTTGGGATGGGAGGGGGGGAAATATATGTGTGTGTGTGTGTGTGTGTGTGTGTGTGTGTGTGTGTGTGTGTGACTGATTTTTTGTTTAACATGTATGTTGACTATGAAATAAAAGTTGTTTTTTTTTTTTTTAAAGAAGTACTGTACTTACGTTTAGGCTAATAGTCCACGAGGACTAGGAGGGCCGTCACAGGGTAGATTTATTCTCTGCAGCACCTGAGGGCAGGTCAAAAAGAAATGGGTCTGGATAGATCCTTTTCAGGCATGAAATGTTGAGGGAAGATCCATACACATGGGGGCTCTCTAGAACAGTATTTCTCAAACTTGACAACTTTGAGACACGTGGACTTCAACTCCTAGAATTCTCCAACCACCATGAACACAGTACTAGGATATTGTCTTCACTTTGGAAGCTGAGAATTGGGATTACATGACACCATTTGTCCATTTATGCATTGCAGCCCGTCCAGCTGAGCCTTTTGAGCTACTACCTCATGCAGTTCTCCACCTACTGTTCTTTGGTCATTTCAATTCCTTTTGATGTCAAACAGAAGGTGAGTGAGCTCTGTCAGAAGGGATGTGATCCAGCTGGCCAGGAAACCCCATTCAGATTCCAGAAGGAAATGTGTGTCTTCCTTTGGGTGCTCTACCATCATTTACGCCTTTCGGTTAATTTATGTGGCAGCCCATCTGGCCTATGCAGCTCAGCTAGTTCAACTGAAAACTCCACCATCAATCAAAAGAGGAGGAAAAGTAAAACAAATTTAAACAAATCAAGGGTGCTAGTTTGGTGCTAGTTTAGTTAAGATGCAAAACTATATGCTACAAAAATTCTCATCGGTGTGACCTTTAAGTACATCATAGGACAACAATTTTTGAGCCAGGGTGCCTCAAATGAGCTAACATATGGAATGCACCCAAAATCTGGCAGCGATGATGCAGTGCCTACTTCAGATCTCCTGGTTGCTGCTGCACTGCTGTGCTGCTAATGAGATTATATGATATTCATTTTCAATTTTCTGTGACAGTTTCCCAGCCAGTCTCATAATCCCTTGCTATCTTCTTCGACCCAGCAGCAGCCAGATACCTGTTTGCTGGGAAGGGGAGGGGAAAAGGAAGGGAAGGGAAGGGGGGAAGGAAGGGACGAAGGAAGGAAGGAAGGAAGGAAGGAAGGAAGGAAGGAAGGAAGGAAGGAAGGAAGGAAGGAAGGAAGGAAGGAAGGAAGGAAGAATTTCCAATACTCTTCACAAGATTCTCAAAGGTAAGAAAATATTTCTGAAACAATGACTCAAAACCCCTTCCTCATAATGGGATGTATGGGCCCCCTGGGGGAGCTACAAAATCAATTGCTCAGTTATCTCCTCTTCTTGCAGGACTTTAATATGATGATTATCCACCATGTGATTGCCATCTTGCTCATTGGCTTCTCCTATTGCACCAATTTCATCCGTATTGGTTCAGTTATCATGTTCCTACATGATATTTCCGATGGTCTGCTGCATGTAAGTTAATGCTCAGGAACACTCTACCTCTACCCTAAGATTTAAAAAAAAGAATACATTATTCCCCTTCCTCTCTTTTTGAAAGAAAAAAAAACACCACTCATCCATGTTTTTTGGTAAGAAGAAATAAATCTAGAAAATACTTTATACCAGCCTTCTCTTGCCTGCAGTCTGCCAGATGTATTGGGACCAGCTAAATAATTGCTGCCATAGTCCCAATCTGAAAGGCTTCTTTAAAGGTCAAGAAAATACAAAAAGAAAATAATAATTCAGAGAAAGAAGCAGCATTGAAAAAAAATTGGGGCTGAAATTGTTTCAAATTTTAGATATCCAGTTTTCAGTTTGAAAGCACGTTTGTTCTGTATTCAGTGCAAAATGTTTGGAAATGAGCTAACCCCCACTTGTGGGAGACTAAGATATTCCCATCAGGCTTTGCCTGCAAGCTGGTCTGCATCCAGGTTTCTCTTTAGGATTTTCATATTCTGCAAACTACAATTCCCAGGATCCCACTGGGAGATAGAATGCAGGTGCTGCAGCTTAAACCCACAGAAATTTGCCATCATACTATGAAAGTTGAGTGTTCTCACAACAGGAGCCTCAGCCACTCAACAATTTCTGTCCCAAATGTGCTTTTTCAAGAGGCAACTGGACTTTCTGATTTTTCTTTGAAGACATGTCGCTTCTCATCCAAGAAGCTTCTTCAGCTCTGACTGGATGGTGGGGAATGGAAGGATTTATACTCCTTGTAGACAGCTGGTCATTTGCATTCTTTTTAGAGAGTCGTTAAGCCCACCTGGAGGTTTATCTGTGTCCTCAGGGTCACCTGAGTAATGCAAATGTGTGTGGAGCTTTCTTGGCTGCAGCCAAGTGGCTGAGCCTCAATGACTCCCTAACAGGATGCAAATGACCAGCTGTCTGCAGGGAGTATGAATCCTCCCATTCCCTACCATCCAGTCAGAGTTGAAGAAGCTTCTTGGATGAGAAGAAAAACAAGAAATTCCAGTTGTCTCTTGAAAAAGCACTTTTGGAACAGTCAAGTCCTGGATGACTGAGAGTCTCCCTAGATATCAACAATTTCTGCTTCTTTTTCTCTCTTTTTTCCCAGAGTGCAAAGATGTTTAAGTACCTGAAGTGGCAGAAAGCCTGCAACACACTCTTTATCATTTTCTCAGTGCTATTCCTCTTTACTCGTGGCATCGTTTTTCCTTACAAGTACGTTTCGGGAATGCATGCAAAAAGGGCAGGAATTTGACAGCACAATTGCAGTGCTCTTTTTTGTTGACATTTCCCCTCACATCTTGGGACATCTTTTTTATATTGTGATGACCAGAACTGGATGCAGTATTCCAAGAGTTAGTACCACTTTACAAAGCCTTAGTACAGCCATCTTTGGAATACTACATCCCGTTTTGGTCACCACAATATAAACAAGATTGTCATGCCCCCATCGGAGTCTGAATCTGAGACAGAAGATGAATAGCTGACTGTTGGAGAGTGGCTCCATCGGCTGTGGAGGAAATTGGGGAAGGGCAAAGTCAGGCTGGGCAGAACAGTTGAGAGAGAGAGAACAAGGGAGTGGGGGTTCAGATGAAGACCAAGGCTCACGCCCTCCTCATCCTAGGTCACACAGGAAAGAATGCAGAAGAGAGCAACATGGGTTGCGTGGCTTACGAGGAAGGAAAGGGCCCCGATTCCCTTCACAAAGCACACCTGGGGATGGAGTTTAAAGGAGAGGGGCATTTGTCAGGAACAAACACTGAATTCATTTAGTGTTGAGAGTTGTGGCCTGCATTCCTGGCATTACTCCTGAACTGTTTGAATTAGTGCCCTGCTTCTGTGTGCTTATCTTGCCTTGCTGGAATTATTGCCGTGATTCACTTCTGGGATGCATTATCTTGTCCTGCTGGAGCAATTGATTGCAGTCATTCTGCTTACAGTGTTTGGACTGGAGTATCTGCAGCCAGAAGCTGCTGCAGGTTTGTGGGAGAGCTTTTCTCTAGGCTGGAGAGTAAATAGGACGTTGGGGGCAAAGTTGGTGCTAATAAAGGGACTCATACCGGTTCTCTGGCTGTGTTGCCTTCATGCCTTGCACCGGATCATCACAAAGATGTTCAGATTCTGGAAAGAGTACAGAAAAGAGGAACAAGAGTGACTAGGGGCATGGATGTTAAAACATATGAAGAATAGTTATAGGAATTGGGTATGGCCTATCTAGAGAATAGAAGGACTAGGGGTGACATTATAGCAGTCTTCCAATATTCGAAGGGCTCCTACAAAGATGGGGGTGGGAGAGTCAAACTATTTTCAAAGCACCAAAAAGCAAGACAAGAAATGATGGATGGAAACTAAGAAGACAAACATCCTAGAACCAAGGAGAAATGACCTAACAGTGAAAGCAATCAACCAATGGAATAGCTTGCTGTCAGAAGTTGTGGGTGCTCCATCATTGGAGGCTTCCAAGAAGAGACTGGATGGCCATTTGTCTGAAATGGTATAGAATCTTCTGTAGATGACCGCCAAGGTACCTTCCAAGTCTATCATTCTATGTTCTATGTTCTATAGCAGCTTCTAACTGCTATAAACAAGTTAGAACCTGCATGTAACCCATCAAACCAGGGGTGAAATGCTCCCGGTTCGGACCGGTGGTTCGGAGAACCGGTAGCAAAAATCCCTGTGCCCCCCCCCATGCCCAGCTGAGCCGCACAATCATCAGAGGCTTTTTTTTTAACTTTTAAAAGCATTTTTTCTACAACCTCTTCGGCTAACAAATGCTTTTAAAAGTAAAAAAACAAAGCCTCTGATAATCATGCAGCTCAGCTGGGATCGTCAAAGGCTTTTAAAAGAAAAAAGGGGTTTTTTTTCTTTTAAATGCCTCTGACGATCCCAGCTGAGTTGCCTGATTGACAGAGGCTTTTTAAAAAAACCTCTGCCGATCAGGCAACTCAGCTGGGATCGTCGGCCAAGCCCACCCAGTCACATTACCCCACCACCAAGCCACGCCCATAGAACCGGTAGTAACAAATTTTACATTTCACTACTGCATCAAACTTCCAGAGTTGGGAGGTAACATCCATCTGTTATTCTCTATTGAAATACTTCGATTTTAATCAATTTTGGCTAAAGCCGTTTAGATCATCTGTTCTTGTTTTGAAGCCCTAATGCAGTGATGGCTAACCTTTTTGCCGTTGCGTGCCAAAAGCGGGAGTAGGGCAGGGGGTCACGTGTGTGGGTGCCCACACTCATAATTCAATGTGCCCCCCCGTGCATGTGCGCACAACCCCACCATTCTCCCCCCACTTTTGGCACATGATGGCACAGTGGGCCCAGTAGGCCCATTTTTTGCCCTCCCCAGGCTCCAAAGGCTTTCTAGGAGCCTGGGGAGGGCAAAAATGGCCTTCCTCACCCCCCTGGAGGCCCTCCTAATGCCGGAAACAGCCCGTTTCCTGACTTCCAGTGGGCTTGGAAGGCCCGAAAAACAGTTGGCTGGAGCGCGCATGCACTGTGGAGCTGAGCTAGGGCAACGCTCGCGTGCCCACATATATGGGTCTGCGTGCCACTTGTGGCACGCGTGCCATAGGTTCACCATCACAGCCCTAATGAATAACCTGAATTCCTAACCGGATTGATTATCTCAGCCTTGAAAACTGCTGAAGAGATAACCATTACCTCTTTCTTTTTCCACCCCCTCTCCCTCCTCAAGGGTTCTCTACAACACATATTACTATTTGGCGGAGGTCCACCCGCCTTATTTTGGCTACTACTTCTTCAATGCCTTCCTGATGCTCCTGCAGCTTCTCAACATTTTATGGTCCTGCCTGATCATCCTCATGATTTATAGGTTCCTGATCCATGGCAAGGTAAGGGCACTCAAGAAGGTGGGAACAAAAGGCATGTGTTGGGGAGAGGGAGAAGACCACCAATTACTTTCATTGAACCCTGCTCCACTTTCATTTTCATTCCATGTCACTTTTTCTAGAGTCTCAACATCTTTTTTTTATAGCGTGGTGACCAAAACTGGATGCAGTATTCTAGGTGTGATCTTACTGAGGCTTTATAGAGTGGTATTAGTACCTCCCTTGATCTTTATTGCATTCCTCTGTTAATGCAGCTTAGGATTGCATTGGCTTTTTTGGCTGCCGCTGCACACTGCTGGCTCATATTTAGCTGGTTGTCCACTAAGACTCCAACATCCCTCTCAGAGTCACTGCTATTCAGCCTGGTTTCAACCAGTTTATATGTGCACTTTTGGTTTTTCTTACCTAAGTGTAGGACTTTACTTTTCTCTACATTGAATTTCATTTTGTTAGATAGGGCCCAGTGTTCAAGTCTGTCAAGATCCATCTACAAATTTGGTAAGTTCCCCTTCTATTCCCTCATCTAAGTCGTTTATGAAGATATTGAAGAGTACTGGGCCTAAGATGGAACCTTGTGGTACCCCACTGCTTACTTCTCTCCATGTAGACTTAAACCATTAAGGACTAGTTGTTGAATATGGTTTGTCAGCCAGTTGTGAATCCATCTGGTGGTGAAGCTATCTATCCCACTTTTTTCTAGCATACAAAGAAGTAGGTTGTTTTCTACTTTGTCAAATGCCTTGCTGAAGTCTAAGTATATTATATCCACAGTATTTTGCTGGCCTACTAATTTAGTCACTATGTTGAAAATGAAATAAGATTGGTTTGGCATCATCTGTTTTTAACAAACCCATGTTGACTTCTAGTTATTACTTTACTCTTTTCTAGATGTTGGCAGATCTGTTTTTTAATTATCTTTTCCAGTATCTTCCCGGGTATTGACGTTAGGCTGATTGGTCTATAGTTTCCTGGGTCTGTTTTTTTTTTTTTCTCTCCTTTTTTTGAAGATGGGAACCACCTCAGCTCTTCTCCAGTCCTCTGGTAGTTCCCTGGTGTTCCAGGATTTTTGAAAGATGTGGTTCAGGGGTTCTGAGATGACATCTGCCAACTCCTTTAGAACTCTGAGATATAATCCTTCAGATTCTGGTGTTTTGTATTCATCAAGATCAGACAGGTGTTCTCTTGCTATTTTTTTTGCTTATTTTAACTTTTATTTCCAGTCTGTTTTTTACAGTTATGTTTCTGGTAGGTTGGGCTATAGTTTCTTTTTGCATGAAGACCTGGAGGAGCCTGGATAGCTCTGCAGACTAAGCACTGTAATTTAACACCAGCTGTCTGCAATTAAAGTAAGTTCGAATCTTGCCAGGCTCAAGGTTGACTCAGCCTTCCATCCTTTCTACGGTAGGTAAATTGAGGACCCAGTTTGTGAGGGCAATAAGCTGACTCTGTATAAAATATACAAAAGTATGAAGGCTATTGCTTAACGCACTGTAAGCCGCCCTGAGTCTCCAGAGAAGGGCGGCATATAAATCAAATTAAAAAAAAAAAAAAAGACCGATGTAAAGAATGAGCTAAGCAGCTCTGCTTTCTCTCTGTTGCTTGCTACTTCCTTGCTGTCTTCTCTCTTTAGTGGACCGACTTTTTCCTTGATTTTTTTTCCTTGTTATTTATATGTTAGAAGAAACTTTTTTATTATTATCTTTGACTTTTGTTGCAAGTCTTTGTTCGTTCTGAGCCTCTGCTTTCCTGACTTTGCAGTCTTTGCAGATTCTGGCTGTCTGTTGATATCCGACCTTAGTTATATGTCCCTCTTTCCATTTTTTGTACTCGTCCTTTTTGTCTTACAATTTGTCAGAGAGATCTTTGTTCAGCCTCGGAAGGATAGAAGGCTGAGTCAACCTTGAGCCTGGTGAGATTCAATCTGCCAAACTGCTGGCAGTCGTTGATCAGCAGAAGTAGCCTGCAGTACTGTACTCTAACCACTGCACCACCATGGCTCATTTTGTTCTGTAAAATATCCTCTGTCCAGATGTATGAGCCTCGGTGGCACAGTGGTTAGAGTATATAAGTCTAAGTGCTATTGCTATCCATTAAGAAGGCTGTTGGGAGGGGGGAATTCAGTGGTAGTGAAGGAGAGTCCCTGCTTGGTTCCCGTGATTCCATTCATTCATTTGGAATGTTTGTGGGTGGCAATTGAGATGTGTGACTTGGTTGGACGAAGGCTGCAACTTCTGGTGCAGATGATTTTTTGCACTTTCACAAATGTCCTCTCCTCAAAGGAGAAGCAGGCACTCCCCATCCACCGTTTCAGACGCCCGTTTCTTTTACTTCCTGCTGAGGCACGAGGCCCACTCTCAGCCTTTGCGCTACCACAGATTTCATTATTACATTTAGGCACCAATCGCATCCTGCAGGAGCACTTCCTTCATTAAAACAAGAGAGAAAAGGGAGTTCGAACGCCACCTTGGGGTCAGTCTCTGTTTGACACAGAATGGTCATACTCACAGCTCCAAAACCAGATTCCCCACCCACCCCCTGCTTTCTGGCAGTGGTGGGATTCAATTTTTTTTTTTACTACTGGTTCTGTGGGTGTGACTTGATGGACGTGGCATGGCTTGGTGGGTGTGGCAGGGGAAGGAGACTGTAAAATCTCCATTCCCAGCCCACTCCGGGGGAAGGAGACTGTAAAATCTCCATTCCCTCCCCACCCCAGCGGAAGGATACTGTAAAAACTCCATTTCCTCCTGGTCAGCTGGGACTCGGGAGGGAGAGAATAGATGGGGGTGGGGCCAGACAGAATTTTTACTACCAGTTCTCCAAACTACTCAAAATTTCCGCTACCGGTTCTCCAGAACTGGTCAGAACCTGCTGAAACCCACCTCTGCTTTCTGGCCACCTCTGCTCAGTGGTGCTTGCATCAGTGATAGGTGGCTGAGAATTGGAATGTAAAAGACTACATATGTTCAACAATGCTCCCTAGCCAAAATAGACTTTTTGACACAAACTGTTACATTACACGCACTCCTAAATGGGGGCCTTATAATGACAGTGGGAAAGGATGTGGGAACTCACCACAACACCCTGTCTACAGGGTGCCCCATTGTCATTGCTGGAGACAACCTGAAAATCTTAACCCCAGGGTCTTTTTGGGGGAGGGATATTAAAAGTCAGGATCCAAATAAGGGATCCTGTCCCCCTCCCCTCTACAACAGCCAAGCAAGCACATTAAAACTTTTCAGAAAATTTCTGGGGACACTGAAAAGACTCCATGCTGCACCATCTCAATTGCAGGTCCCTCGTGCAATTTGTTATGGAGGGGCCACTCATCTTTGTTTTCATGATAGAAAATGCTGACCCCCCCAAAAATATATATATATATATATATACAATCCAGACACTGGCTATGGTCAAGTGGGAGTCCTACTGCGACCCTCAACCCCAGAGCTTCAGGAGAGGTGAATGACCATGGGTTGGGTTTTTGAAGAGATATCAGAGGTAATGTGGATATCTCAACCTTGCAGGAGGTTCAAGCCCCCATGCCTCTTAAACATTTTTTTAATTAGTTTTTTTTAGTAATTACATTTCTTAGTGCTTAATATACATCTTGTTGACTGGGTGTTTAATTTGCTTAACAATACATATTGCGTTCTTAATCTCCAGCTCCTTTTTCCAACCACTGATAAAATAGATTGCATTATTTGATAATATTCTGTATCATCTTTCTGTTTTATTTTTAATGTCAGTTTGCCCATTTCTGCACATTGTAGTATCTTCTTAATTATTTCTTCATCTCGTGGTGTTTCTTCATTTTTTCAGCATTGCGCAAGTACGATCCTCGCTGCTGTCAAGATGTGCAATATTAAATACATACTTTTCTTATCACGTTTACCTGATATTATACCTAATAAAAATAGTTCAGTTTTCAAATCTACATGCTTTCCAATCATCTTTTCTAGCCGTTTATGTATTTTTCTTTTCTTTTTTTTGCTTTATGACAAGTCCACCACATATGATAATATGTGCCTATTTTTTTATTCCATTTCCAACATTTGCTAAACATATTTTTAAACATTTTAGCTAACCTAACCTAGCTAACATTTTAGCTAACCTAGGTAAGTGCCATCTATAAAACATTTTATATAAGTTTTCTTTCTATGAAGTTGCCATTAACAATGGCCTCCTAAACATTTTGAAGCCCCTTCTTCTAAAGAACCATGGTCTTGCCTGTATGCCTTGCAAAACATAGCACAGCCCTTGGGTTGTATCTCCAGTGCAAAAGGTCAGTTGTATCTCCCCAAAAGGGTTTTTTTGCCCTCTGATGGACTCCAGCCAAGCAGGATTGAAGAGAGGTGATGTCTCTGTTTCTCTGTTGTAGGTGGAAAAGGATGTGCGGAGCGACTCAGAGGGCAGCGAGGAAGAGGATGTGGATGAAGTGGACCAGAAGGCAGAACAAAAAACCAACAACAAAACATCACCATTGTCAAGGAATTGTGCAGCAGGTATCCAAATGACATCATAGACCCTGACACGAGCTTGTAGTTTTATATAAATAAATATGTTTCACATTTGTATTTACAGCTGACAGGACCAAAACAGAGAGGAGGGAGTGAAGCTATTTTCCAAAGCAGCTGAAGGCCAAACAAGGAATAATGGATGGAAACTTTTCAAGGAGAGATTCAACCTAGAAATAAGAAGAAATTTTCTGACAGTGAGAACTATCAACCCATGTAACAGAAGTTGCCTTCAGATGTTGTGGGCACTTCATTATGGGAAGCTTTCAAGAAGAGACTGGATAGCTATTTGTCAGAAAAGGTATAGGATCTCTTGCTTGAGCAGGGGGTTGGACTAGATGACCTACAAAGTCCCTTTCAACTCTGTTATTCTATTCTATTCTATTCTATTCTATTCTATTCTATTCTATTCTATTCTATTCTATTCTATTCTATTCTATTCTATTCTATTCTATTCTATTCTATTCCTATTCCTATTCCTATTCCTATTCCTTTCTATTTCTATTATTTCTATTCTATTTTCAGGAAAGAGGAGCATCATGAGGTAAATCACAAACCACATACAGCTCACACAGAAGAAAAAAGCGGGAAAAAGGGAAAGTCCCCCTTTACACCCACAGTAACCTATCATAGCATAGATTGCCTCATGCACAAACAGACAAGATAGTCAGGAACTTCATGAGATAAATCATGCAGGAGCAGACAAGCTAGTCAGAACACCGGAAAATCATGAGGTAAATCAAACAGTATATAGAACACAGAGAAGAAAAAAGGTGAGGAAAAAAGGGAAACTCCCCCTTTATGTTTACAGCATCCAATCACAGTGTAGCTTGCCTCATGCAAGCTTGTCAGGAACCCAGAAATATTGTGAGGTAAATCAAACAATATACAGAACACAGACTAAATGACCTACAAAGTTTCTGCTGTTCTGTTCTGTTCTGTTCTGTTCTATTCTATTCTATTCTATTCTATTCTATTCTATTCTATTCTATTCTATTCTATTCTATTCTATTCTATTCTATTCTTACTCCTACTCCTACTCCTACTCCTACTCCTACTCCTACTCCTACTCCTACTCCTACTCATTCCTGTTCCTATTCTGTTGTCAGGCAAACAGGAGCATCATGAGGTAAATCACAAACAACACCCACAGCAACCGATCATAGCATATAGCCTCATGCAGAAGCCCACACTTTTTACAAGGGAGCTTTGTGCATGTGCGCTTGCCAGCCACTTGTGCAAACCATCCACTCTTCTTCCTCCCCACCTGTCCACAAAGCCAGAAACTCTGCCCTAGAATATAAAATGAGAACGAACCCTCTCTTCCAGCACTGATGAGGTCACCTAGTTTGGTCATGAAATGTCTGCCAGAAAACAAGCAATGTGTCACGTCCTATAGATCTCTCTCAGGAAGCTTCCATTCTGGTGGTGGTGGGAGGCTTGGGGGATTCTTTTGTATGGGGTTTTCCTTTGTTCCTTTCGTGGCTTGATGTACCTTTTGGGGAAATGGGGAGGAGGGAAGAATGTGCCTCAGGCCATCTGTTTTGTCTCACTACTGGAGAAGCCAGAGCGTGGTGCCTGGGAACTGCCTGTTATCACCTGAAGTTCTCACCACATCTTCACACTTTGGGATTGGCTCAAAGTTGAACTGGACATTGGGAGAGGCCTCGGAGAAAGCGATTTAACATAACATTTTAGCACAGGAAATTCAGATCCTGCCTAAATTCCCTCTGCTATCATTGTCTTCCAATAAAAGCTCCTTTTGAAATGCTTTTCGTTTCAAGAGTTCTGCTTTCTTGTGAAGGCTGGTAAGGCAGGACCTTACACAATGTCAGAGAGCACCAAGAATTTACTTCAACTCTGAGCTACAATTCCTGTTCTGCCCTCACTATACGTTAGTCTGTGTGCAGCTCAACATGCAGCTAAACCCACTTATCCTCCAATAGAACAGACCGTGTGCGTAGATCTGAGGGCTTTATTGGAAGAACAGGATATGGTGAAACTGGGGAAAATAGGGATACATACAATGAGAACCAAATATAAGATAGACCTAGTTACTGCTGAACATAACAATTAATAAATACAAGCTATTTAAATCTAAACAGCGATGCTCTGTATGAGATCTGGGTTAGTCCTTGGATGATCATGTGCCACAGATTAAGTAGATGCTTCCTTGTGCTTCTGCCTTCTCCAAAGGCTAAAGGAAATGGAGTCTGGCTTCCCAAGATACATTTGTTTGAGAGTGTGAACTGATGGGTAAATGGGTGGAATTAGCTTCAAACAATATACTTGGGGCATATTTGTCCCTCTGGCCACTAGATGGGGATAGAGGGCAACAACACTATATAAAGATCATTTGGTATCGCATGACAATTCCTCTATCAAAACTCTTAACTTGAGTGCAGGGGCTTGGTTACATATAAATCAAAATATCCAACTTCACCTTCATTCTCAAGTCTGTCTCTGGGGATTACAACAAGAGACACAAACATGTTTTTCCCTTTCTGGCATGCAAACGGATCTAGTAATAATTGGATAGGGCAATTGCTCTCCCTTGCAATTATCAGTGGAACTGCCATTCTTATTCTCTGTGGGTTTCTATTCACAAAAAACTTCCCAGAGAACACCGGCTTTAAAAAAAAAACATGCCTGGAATTCTACCGATGGGACAGGACATGACACCTCACCTTGCCTTGCAAAGAGCTCACTCCTGGGTTGGATGAGACTCAGCTGGCCTTAGCTTTGTCTTCGGTCACAGCTCAAACACTTATAAGGGGAAGGATGGTTGATATAAATTTGCTACAAGGCCATCCAGGTGGAATGATCTGCCTCTGTTGTGCTCTAAGCTGTGATGAGATTTCAAGTGCTACCTGCAATTTAGCTTCTGCACAAACCTAGATTTCTGATCTTGGAGGGAAGGTGAGAAGAATGACTGGGTTGCCTCTCCTCCTCCTGCTGCTGCTCTTTTGGCTCCTGCCTCCAACTTCTGCTAAGAGGATAGAAAGTGTATGTGTATTGTCAAGGTCTTTGGAGATTCTGGAGGACTATTACAAGCCTGGTGATCTCATTATTGGTGGGAATTTGCCCCTGGCAACCATTGTTTTATCCTTCGGCAGCCTACGCTTTCATAAAGACCCATTCCAGCATCTTTTACCAATTGTGTAAGTTTCACCTGGAGGCGAAAGATGTAGATGAATGCTTTCTTTCTTTGGGATTCAGGAACTCCTTTTAGAAATACTGGTCCTGATGAGGTTTGCAATGCCGTAGAGTAAATCTTTGCACTTTTTTTCAATAAAGAACCAAGCTCATAAAAGAGGATAGAATTCTTAATCTTTCCAGAATTCCTCCTGATGAAAGGGATGAAGCATAAAAAGTGAGAAGGGACAACACATTAGAAATTGTGATGGTCTACTTATTAATTTGGATAGAAAGTCATGGTGGAAAAGTCGAATTAAAAATCCTTATCCAGTGTGAGACATAAGTCATTTGATACAAGAGTGTTGGCAAATGAATATCCTGAATGAAATAAAATAATAAAAAATACAAAAGAAAAACTCGGTTTTGGAATCAGCTCATGAGCAATGGCCTTTGGGAAATCTACACTCTGACACCTACGGGAGTTTTGTGCTCAGCAATGGTTACTTGTCCTGCAGAAACTTCTCCAAGAGAGAACAAAATTGATAACCTGCTAGAGGGAAAAAAGGATTACAGTCACTGGAGCAAAGTGAGGAAGGGAGGGATGATAGAGGGGTATTAAAAGGTCTGTGATTGGGATGGACAGTTTAATCAAGGAAGATCCTTTAAAAAAATCCAAACTCAATGAAATTTGGGAGTTGCTCTAAAGAACAACACAAAAGACAAACTCCAACTGCATATGTGAAATTTCCTGTAATTGTTCCTCAATGTTTTTGTTATGTCCTTATAAGGACATCCGCCCAGCTTGGCTGCTAGCCATCGGGCGGGAGATTTGAATCCCTGTCAAGGGGCGGTGCGCCTGCCGGGAGCGAATATAAGGAGAGCTCCGGCAGCGCGCCAGCAGTCTTGACTCGTTACTTTGTACCTAATAAAGTTATTAATGTATCGAGCTGGTCCAGTCTTCCTTTCCTGCGCCTGATCTAACACTGGCGACGAAGGACTTGAGAGAAGAACCCGAACAAGACTCTTGGCACGATCGCCCACCTAGCTGAAGTCACTACACCACAGCGACTTCCAGAATGGCTACCCCACAAGCCCCGATGACCGCGCTGAACCCATTCAACCCAGCCCGGGAGAAGTGGAGGTCATACATGGTCCGATTCCGGCAGTTCCTGTGAGGCAATGGATACCAGAACCTCGACGATGAGAGGAAAAGAGCCCTCTTCCTGGCTCATTGCGGATCGGACGTTCTAGAGATGGCGATTGACCTCGTGGCACCCAGGGACATTGAGGAGATGTCCTGGAACGACCTGCAGGAAGTCCTACAGGAGCATTACGCACCTACAGGCACCCCCATCGCGAACAGGTTCACCTTCCAGCAAAGAAACCAGCGGGAAGGTGAATCCGTCAAGGAATTCGTGGCAGCACTTCGCCAACTCGCTGCCAACTGCGAGTTCGATAACGTGGACAACGCCATCCGAGACTGCATTGTTTTTGGCATGAGAGATGTGGGGCTGCAGAAAAAGTTCCTCAGCCGGAAGAGGATCCCGCTCAAAGACGTCCTCGACGAAGCAACAGCGGCTGAAACATCTGAGCAAGCAGCCGCCGCAATGGTAAAACCAAGAGGGATCCATAAGATCCACAAGTCGGGCCTGACCTCATCAGACAAGGCAACCACGCAATCCGAGTCGGATGAGGAAAGGGCCGTCCACAAGGTTTCCCACCCCCCCAGGCGGGAAAACCCACAGCATGGCGACCGGGGAGAACGATGCGGCAGTTGCAGAGGCGACCACCCCAGGGCAAACTGCAGATGGAGGGACGCGACCTGCCGCCGATGCCTGAAGAGGGGGCACATCGCCGAGGCCTGCAGAGCCACAGATCCAGCCCCGGAACCGCCCAGACCACGACTCCGGGAGAATCGCAAAGACAATCAGAGGACATCCAAACGGTCCTCAACCCAGTCCCGGCGCGGGGAGGACAACTATCCCCGCAGCAGAACGGTGCACCAGACAACCATCGCTCACACAAGTGATGAGGGGACCACCAAGTTCCACGTGACGCTGATGGCGGAAGGGTCACCGTGCAAGATGGAGGTAGACTCCGGGTCCGCCTACTCCATCATGGACTGGCAGCACCTTCAGCAGCTGAAGCCATCCTGCAAGAAGACCCAGCTGAAAACCCCGAAGTCGAGGCTTGTGGACTTCAACGGAAATCCCATCGGAATCCTGGGCAGAGCCACCATCCACATCAGATACAAGGACTTTTAACGGAGAGCTGCCCATCACCATCGTGGAGAACAGCCGACTGAACCTGTTAGGAGTGGAGTGGTTTAAGCCGCTGGGGCTTTCCATTGAGGGCATCCACGAAATCCATAGGGACGAACTCGACACCATCCTCGAAGAGTTCAAAGAAGTCTTCAATGGTAAACTGGGGAAATTTGTGGGGAGGCCAATTTCCTTCAATCTGGACAAGGGCATCACCCCAATCAGGCTCAAGCCCCGCCGAGTTCCGTTCGCCCTGCGGCCTAAAGTAGACGAACAGCTGGATAAGCTGATCGCCCAGGGCGTCCTGGAACCGATCGATCATGCTTCATGGGAGACTCCCATTGTGACCCCACTGAAGCATGATGGGTCTGTGCGCATCTGCGCCGACTACCGTTGTACCATCAACAAGGCGTTGGCGCAAAGCGCATACCCAGTCCCAGTGGTGCAACACCTGTTGCATTCCCTGGGGTCTGGCTCAATTTTCGCGAAACTGGACCTGGCCCAGGCTTACCAGCAACTGCCAGTGGATGAAAAAACGGCGGAGGCACAAACAATTGTCACGCACAGGGGGGCATTCAAATGTAACCGCCTCCAATTTGGAGTCAGCGCTGCCCCCGGCATCTT